GGGGACTTAGTAAGTCAGCTATAAGTAGGGTTGTAATTGGGGTATCTCCAGATAGGGTACTTATAACTCTACTTATAACCTACTTACTAAGTCCCCTGGGCCTCCAAGCAGGGGGTTATAGGGTTGTGCAAGGGATTTGGGCTTCAGGGTTTCAGGATTGCAGGGTTTGGGATGTTGCGGTTACGGGTTGTGTGGATCCTCGTTTAGGGCGGTGTCATAAAGGCGTGTGAGCAAGCGAGCGATCAATGACACGATCACTCGGTCAAGTTTTTATTTGCTCACAGTGTACAATCGGATCAGGTCTTCAGCCAAAGTACAGCCTGCGAGTGACAGATCTGAATGTAAGAACAGTTTCATTTGTCGCTGAGACAGAGAGAGAGAGAGAGAGAGAGAGAGAAAAAAAAGCAAACCAAGCCCAGACACATCTTATAATCGCCTTTATAAAGGTATTCTTGAAAGGAAGCCTAAACTAGTTACTAAAGACCGTGGTGCCTATCTGTACCACTGACAGACACGGCCTGCGGCGCGGGAAAATCACCAATATAATTCTTCAATATTCCGTATTATATAGCTTTATAAAATATACCCCCAAACCCGATTCTAATGATTAAGACTCCTGCCTGAAGCTCCAACCTAATGCTAACTATTACTTGGAGGCCCAGGGGACTTAGTAGGTCGGCTATAAGTAGGGTTATAATTGGGGTAATTCCAGTTTGGGTACTTACAGCTCTATTTATAACGTACTTACTGAGTGCCCTGGGCCACTGCATCTACTGCCCAAGGCCGACGAAAGTAGCAACACCGAAGCAGCCGGCCGGCACCCGAGCTGGTTTTCGGACGTTTGGGGACTAGGGTTATCGGGTTTTGAGGTTTTGAGGTTCAGGTTTAGGCCCTAAGCCCTAAACCCTAAACCCTAAAGCCTAAACCCTAAAATTAGGGTTGAGGATTCGGGTTCAGGGTTTACTGTTTCGGAGGTTTGGGATTTAGGATAAAGGGTTTTTTTAGTTCGTCAATCCGTGTATCTTCGTGATTAAGTTTTGGGGATGCAGTGCGTTGCGCACCGCGAAGAGTTACAGGAGGACGTCTTCCGGCCGTACTTGGAGGCCCAGGGGACTTAGTAAGTAGGTTATAAGTAGACTTATAAGTACCCTAAAAGGGATCCTAGTTGGGGTTATGATACCTCATATAGTCTCCATTGTAGTTCCTTTTTGGGGATACCTTATAAAATCCCTAATATATAATGGTTAAACCAAAAAAAGGAACTACAATGGAGACGATAGGTTATAACTTTATAAAATAGCTACTTACTAAGTCCCCTGGGCCTCCAAGTAGGCATTCATCATCTCTCGAGGTTGAAGCGGACTGTGGGTTAAGGGGTTCAGTGGGCGTGAACCTGTCTTACTAAAGGTTTAGGGTTTAGGGTTTAGGGTTTAGGGTTTAGGGTTTAGGGTTGCGGAATCCTCGAAATACCCCAGCTGAACCCCGGAACCCCAAGATAGAAGCTTGAATGCACCAATATGGGGGTCTCAAGAATTACCCATATCATCTTGGGGGTTCCTTATCTATAAGTATAGTATATAGTATAATATACCCCGAAAGCCTATTCTAATTCTTAAAGCTTCTACACTACCAGCGCGAATCCTCGTAGTTCCCTTCTTGTAAGTACTTGTCTATCTAAAACATCTCCCGAAACCCTGTTCTGTTTATTGAGGCCCCCGTATTGAACCCCTATAGTAGCCCTTTCATGATAACCCTAAACCCTAAACCCTAAACCCTAAACCCTAAACCCTAAACCCTAAACGACAACGACCGCGAACTTTATTGGGAGGCCATGATCGTGGCGCCCCCCAGGGCGCCGATGTCGCCGACCTGCGACATTGAGGCTGCGAGGGTCGTGTTTGGGGTTAAGGGTTTAGGGTTTAGGGTTTCGGTTTAGGGTTTAGGGTTTAGGGTTCTGAAGCCCGGCGTCTACCCTTAACTCTGACTGCTAGGCCCTAAACCCTACCTGCCATGCCAGCACTGTCTAGGGCTTAGTTGTGCCCAATAGCTCGGAACTCAGGCTTCCTCGGTTGTTTAGGGAAGTTCAGGGTTTGGGGCCTCTTGGGGTTTTAAAGCCCTACACTCACTTTCAAACCCGTCGCCATAACCCTGAACCCTAAACCCTAAATCCTAAACCCTAAACCCTAAACCCGTATCCATGAACCCATGAACCTTGAGGCGAGGGGTTCTGTAAATTGGCGCACTTGTCGGGTGCTGCGAGTGCTGCATTCTTTCGCGAATACTCCTTAAGATTGACTTATATGCCGAAAATCAAATTTGGGGAACCCTAAGCCCTAAACCCTAAACCCTAAACCCACTTCTCTTTTTAGTTTACCGCTCCATTCAAGCCTCTTGGGGTCTCCGGGATAGGAATCGGAACCCTTGGGAAGCCTAGGAGCCTTGGCAGGAAGCCCTTGAAACCCAACCCCGCCGAACCCAATTCGTGTAAACGGCGTTTGTCCGACTAAACCCTAAACCCTAAACCCTAAACCCCAAAAACCAAACCCTAAACCC